AACCAATTTTATGTTAATATTGTCTTATACAAAATTAGCCCTTTTAAGTATCCTAGTACAAAACAGTAAAAGTGTTAATAATACACTCTTAAAATTGTATGTTAACTTTTATTCAAGAAAAGTGTTTTGAGTGCTCTATAGACTGGCAAGTATCCTGAAGGAGGACAGAAGCTATTCTGATGTCAACTATATTTCCAAAGCAATTCAAAGTGCTGGCTTTTGCCTATATAGCCCTAAATGGCCCCAAATTACCTGTTCAAACGCATGTCCCCCTATGAACCATCGCGGATTTTAAGATCCTTCGGGGAGGACCTGCTTTTCATCCTGCCATTGTCACAGGCATGGTTGGTGGGGACGAGAGACAGGGCCTTCTCGATGATTGCTCCCCAGCTATAGAGCTCCCTTCCTGGTGAGATCAGGTCGGCCCCCTCCCTCCTGTCCTTTAGAAGGATGGTAAAAACTTGGCTGTGGGACCGAGCTTTCGGGACAGCAATAAATCAGCAATAGGAAAGATGACCAGGCCAATTAGATTTGACGCGGATGACTAGGATGGTTTTAAATGGTTTATTTTAATATTTTGATAAATGTTTTAATGTTTATGTATGTATATAAAAATTTGTGTCCCGACATTGAATGTTGGCCGTATATATGCTGTGCTCCACCCTGAGCGGAATACAAATGTTTTAAATAAATAAATAAATAACAAATAAAGGTTGAAGACTGCCTGATAATAACTTTAGTTATTAGTACTTTTCTTCAACACTAAATATTGGAATACGGCTCACTGCAGAAAAAAAAAGATTTTAGAACTATGGAAGGCACAAAAATATCAATCAGTCCAATGGAACTTACGCCCCACTTTGTTAAAATATCTTTAAAATTTTTAATAAAAAGAAATCCAAAAGATTCGTCCAGTGAGTTACATTTTGAGTTATGCTAATCCCACAAACAACATTACATTTTTATTTATACAGATTGCTTTTATGATTTATTACTGTTGTTAGCCAAGACCTCCTCCAGGGGTGAGAAGGATGGGGATACAAATATGCAAAATAAATATAAATATATAAACATGAGGCAAGAATGTGATGCAGCAGCTTAAAAGGTCAATGCGATTCTAGGCTGAATCAAAAAGAGTACAGTGTCTAAATCAGGCCTAGGCAAACTTGGGCCTTCTCTCCAGGTGTGTTGGACTCCAACTCCCACTATTCATAATAGCCTCAGGCCCTTTCCTTTCCCCCCTCAGCCGGTTAAGCGGCTGAGGGGGGAAAGGAAGGGGCCTGAGGCTGTTAGGAATGGTGGGAGTTGGAGTCCCCCTTTCCTTCTCCCCCTCAATTGCTTAAGCAGTTCAATATAAGCAGGTGTATAAGCAGCAATATAAGCACTGAAGCTTACCTCATTGTGAGGTAAGCTTCAGTGGGAGAGAGGCCTCAGTGGGAGAAATGCCTCAGTGTGAAAAGGAAAGTGCCTGAGGCTGTTAGGAATGGTGGGAGTTGGAGTCCACCTTTCCTTTTCTCTCTCAGCTGCTTAAGCACACCCTCCCCAAAGATCTGAGACAGGCCCCTACGTTGGCAGTCTTTAGAAAGAACTTGAAGATCTGGCTGTTCCGATGTGCCTTTCCAGAGTAGGAATCCTCCAACAACAAATCCCAGAAGCACTTTATTAGAATTAAGATTTCTGCACACTGCACTTACCCATAACCCTTATATATCACTTGTCACATCAGCACTTTTAATTCTGTATCCATTACTCTGGCCCGGCCCAGTTTTATTGTGTCTTGGTGTATTGTTTATCGCTTGTTGTTTAATATTGCTTTAATTTTTTTAAATTTGCTTTAGGTTTTGTATTGTTGTGTTTTGTAGCCTTGGCCTTTGTAAGCCGCATCGAGTCCTTCGGGAGATGCTAGCGGGGTACAAATAAAGTTAATAATAATAATAATAAGATAAGCAGGTGTGCATGTAATTTAGTAGCCCTCAGACTGAGAGAAACGCCTCAGTGAGTGAGGCATTGGTCTGACAGAGCCCTCATTGTGAGGTGGGCCTCAGTGGGAGAAATGCTTCAGTGTGAAAAGGAAAGGACTTAAGGCTGTTAGGAATGGTGGGAGTTGGGAGTCCCCCGTTCCTTTTCCCCCTCGGCTGCTTAAGCAGTTCAATATAAGCAGGTGTGCATGTAATTTTGTAGCCCTCAGACTGAGAGAAACGCCTCAGTGAGTGAGGCATTGGTCTGAGAGAGCCCTCATTGTGAGGTAGGCTTCAGTGGGAGAGAAGCCTCAGTGTGAAAAGGAAAGTGCCTGAGGCTATTAGGAATTGTGGGAGTTGGGAGTCCCCCTTTCCGTCTCCCCCTCAGCTGCTTAAGAAGTTCAATATAAGCAGGTGTGCATGTAATTTAGTAGCCCTCAGACTGAGAGAAACACCTCAGTGAGTGAGGCATTGGTCTGAGAGAGCCCTCATTGTGAGGTAGGCTTCAGTGGGAGAAATGCCTCAGTGTGAAAAGGAAAGTGTCTGAGGCTGTTAGGAATGGTGGGAGTTGGAGTGCCCCTTTCCTTTTCCCCCTCAGCTGCTTAAGCAGTTCAATATTAGCAGGCGTGCATGTAATTTAGTTGACCTCAGACTGAGAGAAACGCCAGTGAGTGAGGCATTGGTCTGAGAGAGCCCTCATTGTGAGGTAGGCTTCAGTGGGAGAAATGCCTCAGTGTGAAAAGGAAAGGGCCTGAGGCTGTTACGAATGGTGGGAATTGGAGTCCCCCTTTCCTTCTCCCCATCAGCTGCTTAAGAAGTTCAATATAAGCAGATGTGCATGTAATTTAGTAGCCCTCAGACTGAGAGAAACGCCTCAGTGAGTGAGGCATTGGTCTGAGAAAGCCCTCATTGTGAGGCAGGCCTCAGTGGGAGAAAAGGAAAGTGCCTGAGGCTGTTAGGAATGGTGGGAGTTGGAGTCCCTCTTTCCTTCTCCCCCTCAGCTGCGTAAGCAGTTCAATATAAGCAGGCGTGCATGCAATTTAATAGCCCTCAGACTGAGAGAAACGCCTCAGGAAGTGAGGCAGTGGTCTGAGAGACCAATAGGGCTCCACAGCCACCTACGAATCCATAAGGAAACCCATCATGGAAGACCATCTTACTCGTCCAACGAGGGATCGCCTAAGTAAGTAAAGTCTGAGAGAGCCCTCGTTGTGAGGTAGGCTTCAGTGGGAGAGATGCCTCAGCGGGAGAAATGCCTCAGCGTGAAAAGGAAGGGGCCTGAGGCTGTTACGAATGGTGAGAGTTGGAATCCCTTTCCTTTTCCCCCTCAGCTGCTTAAACAGTTCAATATAAGCAGGCGTGCATGCAATTTAATAGCCCTCAGACTGAGAGAAACGCTTCAGTGAGTGAGGCATTGGTCTGAGAGAGCCCTCATTGTGAAGTAGGCTTCAGTGGGGGAGAGGCCTCAGTGGGAGAGAGCCCTCATTGTGAGGTAGGTTTCAGTGGGATAGAGGCCTCAGTYGGAGAGAGCCCTCATTGTGAGGTAGGCTTCAGTGGGAGAGAGGCCTCAGTGGGAGAGAGCCCTCATTGTGAGGTAGGCTTCAGTGGGAGAGAGGCCTCAGTGGGAGAGAGCCCTCATTGTGAGGTAGGTTTCAGTGGGAGAGAGGCCTCAGTGGGAGAAATGCCTCAGTGTGAAAAGGAAAGTGCCTGAGGCTGTTAGGAATGGTGGGAGTTGGTGTCCCTCTTTCCTTTTCCCCCTCAGCTGCTTAAGCAGTTCAATATAWGCAGGGGTGCATGCAATTTAATAATCCTCAGACTGAGAGAAACGCCTCAGTGAGTGAGGCATTGGTCTGAGAGAGCCCTCATTATGAGGTAGGCCTCAGTGGGACAAATGCCTCAGTGTGAAAAGGAAATTGCCTGAGGGTGTTAGGAATGGTGGGAGTTGGAGTCCCCCTTTCCTTCTCCCCCTCAGCTGCTTAAGCAGTTCAATATAAGCAGGTGTCCATGTAATTTAGTAGCCCTCAGACAGAGAGAAACGCCTCAGTGAGTGAGGCATTGGTCTGAGAGAGCCCTCATTGTGAGGTAGGCTTCAGTGTGAGAGAGGCCTCAGCGTGAAAAGGAAAGTGCCTGAGGCTGTTAGGAATGGTGGGAGTTGGAGTCCCCCTTTCCTTCTCCCCCTCAGCTGCTTAAGCAGTTCAATATAAGCAGGTGTGCATGTAATTTAGTAGCCCTCAGACTGAGAGAAACGCCTCAGTGAGTGAGGCATTGGTGTGAGGGAGCCCTCATTGTGAGGTAGGCTTCATTAGGGAGAGGCCTCAGTGGGAGAGATGCCTCAGTGTGAAAAGGAATGGGCCTGAGGCTCTTAAGAATGGTGGGAGTTGGAGTCCCCCTTTACTTCTCCCCCTCGGCTGCTTAAGCAGTTCAATATAAGCAGGTGTGCATGTAATTTAGTAGCCCTCAGACAGAGAGAAACGCCTCAGTGAGTGAGGCATTGGTCTGAGAGAGCCCTCATTGTGAGGTAAGCTTCAGTGGGAGAAATGACTCAGTGTGAAAAGGAAAGGGCCTGAGGCTGTTAGGAATGGTGGGAGTTGGAGTCCCCCTTTCCTTTTCCCCCTCAGCTGATTAAGCAGTTCAATATAAGCAGTGAGTGAGTGAGGCATTGAGAGGAAAGCCTCAGTGAGTGAGGCATTGGTCTGAGAGAGCCCTCATTGTAAGGTAGGCCTCAGTGGGAGAGAGGCCTCAGTGGGAGAAATGCCTCAGTGGGAGAGAGGCCTCAGTGGGAGAAATGTTTCAGTGGGAGAAATGCCTCAGTGGGAGAGAGGCCTTAGTGGGAGAGAGGCCTCAGTGGGAGAGCCCTCATTGTGAGGTAGGCTTCAGTGAGAGAGAGTCCTCAGTGTGAAAAGGAAATGCCTCAGAGTGAAAAGGAGAATGGCTGAGGCTGTTAGGGATGGTGGGAGTCGGAGTCCATCACACCTGGAGGGCCCAAATCGGCCCAGGCCTAGCCTACCCCGCCCGTCTCCATGGCAACGCTCCTCTACTCACCAGAGGGGTTCACAGCGGCCGGCGCGGCCATTTTGCCTGGGGCCCAATTCGGAGCCTTGCCAGTGAAGGACCCGGATGCAGGGCACCCACAGCGGAGGCCCCCGGCCAGATGCGGAGGGAGAGCGGTCTCGCCGGCTACACCAAGGGGAGCGCCTCGGTTCCCCTCATGCTGCCCAGGACGCCCGGCCCGAGGAGGAGCCCTCCCCGCCCTCCCCTTTCATTCCCCTCACGCTCCGCGCCCCCTCCTCAGCCGGACTACGCATGCGCCGAGCAGCACCTGGGAACAAAACGTCCCGCCCCCTAGCGGGCCTCCCATTGGCCCGCGCGCGGCTCTCCCGGCCCTCTGATTGGTGGGATGGGCTCTGCTTGGTTCTGTGCCCACGGCTCCAATGGGTGGTTCTTCAGCGCCCCCAGTGGCCACATCCGGAAGTTACACCGTTTCATTATATTGAAGGGGGAAAATGCAAAAACTATGAATTTAGTTGGAAAGATACTAGAGACAAAGTTGAAGTCCTTTGGCCACATCATGAGGAGACAGGAAAGCCTAGAGAAGGGAATGATGCTGGGGAAAGTGGAAGGCAAAAGGAAGAGGGGCCGACCAAGGGCAAGATGGATGGATGGCATCCTTGAAGGGACTGGACTGACCTTGAAGGAGCTGGGGGTGGTGACGGCCGACAGGGAGCTCTGGCGTGGGCTGGTCCATGAGGTCACGAAGAGACGGAGACGACTGAACGAATGAACAACAACAACATGAATTTAGTTAAACACTAGCTGTCCCCTGCCAGGCGTTGCTGTGGCCCAGTCTGGTGATCTGGAAAATAAAGTAATGAGAAAGTTTTGGTTTCTAATATATGTAATTCCTTTATGCTTGTGAGTAAACAGTACTTACTTAGGTTCTTGTGGGTTTTTTCGGGCTATAGGGCCATGTTCTAGAGGCATTCTCTCCTGACGTTTCGCCTGCATCTATGGCAAGCATCCTCAAAGGTAGTGAGGTCTGTTGGAAATAGGAAAATGGGTTTATATATCTGTGGAATGACCAGAGTGGGGCAAAGGACTCTTGTCTGCTGAAGCTAGGTGTGAATGTTTCAGCTGACCACCTTCATTAGCATTTGAAGGCTTGGCTGAGCCTGGGGAAATGTTCTGTTGAGAGGTGATTAGATGTCTTTGTTTGTTTCCTCTCTGTTGTCGTGCTGTTGTTTTAGAGTTTTTTAATACTGGTAGCCAGATTTTGTTCATTTTCATGGTCTCATATTATTATTATTATTATTATTATTATTATTATTATTATTTTTTTTCTCCAACAAAGGATCACCGCCTTGTTGTGGCGCTGGAGCTTGAGCACCTCAATGATGTCACCAAATTTATTTTATTTATTTATTTGGGGTTCTTTTACCCCGCCCTTCTCACCCCGAAGGGGACTCAGGGCGGCTTACAGAAGCAAGGCACAATTCGATGCCAGCAGTACAAAACAATCAAGACACAAAATTACACAATTACATCACACTAGTTCATGCATTATATCAATAAAATCAATAAAATCAATAAAAGCAATACAAACCCAATTCCTCTCTTACATGGTCAGCGATCGCTAACTCATAGTTCTAGTTTTCAGTTCCACTTCATCAATCCTGTTGGTCTTACTCACCTGATTGTCTAATTTAATTGCCAGAGTGCCCAAAGGCCTGGTCCCATAACCACGTCTTCACCCTTCTCCTAAAGGCGAGGAGGGATGATGATGCCCTGATTTCTCCCGGGAGTGAGTTCCACAGGTGAGGGGCCACCACTGAGAAAGCCCTGCTCCTCGTCCCCACCAGCCTCACTTGTGACAGTGGCGGGGTCGAGAGCAGGGCCTCCCCAGAAGATCTTAAGCTTCGAGGTGGGACGTAGAGGGAGATCCGTTCGGACAAATACACTGGGCCGGAACCGTATAGGGTTTTGTAGGTCAAAACCAGCACTTTGAATTGTGCTCGGAATTGGATCGGCAGCCAGTGGAGCTGACGCAACAGGGGGGTGGTATGCTCCCTGTACGCCGCTCCGGTGAGCAATCTGGCTGCTTCTCGCTGGACTAGTTGAAGTTTCCGAACAGTCTTCAAGGGCAACCCCATGTAGAGCGAGTTGCAGTAGTCTATTTGGGATGTGACAAGAGCGTGGACCACCGTGGCCAGATCAGACTTCCCAAGGTAGTTAATATGTGCTGGCAAATTAGTTAATATGTGCTGGCAAATTTAGCTTCTAAAATGTAAAATGTAGCGCAGGTATAGGAAAGGTGACCCCTGGCTGGAAAACAGTCTATGTGAAAGGGAACTGGGAGTCTTAGTAGACCACATGCTGAACATGAGTCGTCAGCAATGTGATGCAGCAGCTTTAAAAGCCAATGCGATTCCAGGCTGCATCAAGAGGAGTAGAGTGCCTGAATCGAGAGACATCATAGTCCCGCTCTGTTCTGCTTTGGTCACATCTCACCTGGAATAACTCTTTGTCCCATTCTAGCACCACAGTTCAAAGGTGTCCAAAGAAAGGCAACCAAAATGATCAAATGTTTGGAAGCCAATCCCTGTGAGGAATGGCTTAGGGAGCTGGACATGTTTAGCTTGGAGAAAAGTAGGCTGGATCTGCCCCATCTATAATTTATTTATTTATTTATTATTCGAACTTCTATGCCGCCACTCCCCTGGGGCTCGGAGCGGCTTACAAGAATGACTAAAATCTAACACAATTTAGAAACAATTTAAAACAATTTAAAAACAGCAATATCAACAATCAAAGGCCTGTCGAAACAGGTATGTCTTACATGCCCTGCGGAAAGCTGGTAAGTCCCGCAAGGCACGGACTTCAGGTGGCAGAGTATTCCAGAGTGATGGTGCCACTGCTGTGAAGGCTCTGCGTCTGGTTGCTGTTAGACGCAAGGTCTTGACACTGGGAATTTCCAATAGATCTTGATCCTCAGAACAGAGGGATCTCTGGGGTTGGTAGGGGGTGAGGCGGTCCCTCAGGTACATCGGCCCCAGACCATGCAAGGCCTTAAAGGTGAGCACCATCCCTTTGAAAGTGATCCGGTGCTCAATTGGTAACCAATGCAGCTGCAGAAAGATTGGAGTGATGTGGCATCTCATCGGAATGCCCGCAAGAATAATGTTGCCCCTATGATGCACTTTCCCCTGCCCTAAACTGAAAGCTTTGCCACACTGTTTTATCCTTCTTGGGTTCCCCTCACTTACACATTTTTATTCCTACCTCACCCAGGGCTTTATCATTTTATCTTGTCCATTAGGCCTGCCCATCCTGTTCGATTTTCTTTTGTGTTAATTTGCTTTATTGTTTTGTTTTGCTACTGTAATTATTTTCTGATGTAAGTTCTGGGTTTTTTGTTGTTGTTGTTTTTTGCATTCTGTATGTTATTGTGTTGCACTGTATTTTTTGGGCTTGGCCTCATGTTAGCTGCCCCACGTCCCTATTGGGGAGATGGTGACAGGGTAAAAATAAAGATTATTATTATTTGAAACAAAACAAGATGAGTCCACAGCAGACACTCTCCTGGCTGTTGAACTGGATCACACGTCAGACACTCCCCAAGTGTCTAGTATGTGTGATGTGCCGGCAAATAACGCGTGCAGATCCCAGTAAGGTGGCCTTCTGCAGCTGGCAGGTGGTAATTTTGTCAGCACTGATTGTGTTTAAGTGCAGGCCAAGGTCTTTAGGCACTGCACCCAGTGTGCCGATCACCACTGGGACCACCTTGACTGGCTTGTGCCAGAGTCTTTGCAGTTTGATCTTTAAATCCTCATATCGTGTCAGCTTTTCCTGTTGCTTCTCTGCAATCCTGCTGCCACCTGGAATTGCAACATCAACGATCCATACTTATTATTATTATTATTATTATTATTACACTGCCCTGTATCCCAGGATCTGATCCTGGATAATCCACTTTGAACTGGATTATATGAGTCTACACTGCCTGATAAACAGATAATCTGGGATGAGATTCTGGGATAAAGGGAAGTGTAGATTCAGCCTGAGAGGAACATGAGAGCCATGTTTAAATATTTGAAAGGGTATCATGTTACCTGTTAAATATTTGACAGGCTTCTTTTCTTCTGCTCTGGAGACTAGGACACAGAGCAATGGATTCAAATGGTAGGAAAAAAATATTTAACCTAAACCAGTGTTTCTCAACCTGGGGGTTGGGACCCCTAGGGGGTCGCGAGGGAGTGTCAGAGGAGTCACCAAAGACCACCAGAAAACACAGTATTTCCTGTTGGTCATGGGGGTTCTGTGTGAAAAGTTGGCCCCAATTCTATCGTTGGTAAGGTTCAAGGGGCCCCTTGATTGTAGGTGAACTATAAATCCCAGCAACTACAACTCCCAAATGGCAAGGCCTATTTTTCCCAAACCTTACCAGTGTTCACATTTGGGCATATTGAGTATTCGTGCCAAGTTTGGTCCAGATCCATCATTGTTTGAGTCCACAGTGCTCTCTGGATGTAGGTGAACTACAACTCCAAAACTCAAGGTCAATGCCCACCAAACCCTCTATATTTTCTGTTTGACATGGGAGTCCTGTGTGCCAAGTTTGGTTTCAATTCCATCGTTGGTGGAGTTCAGAATGCTCTTTGATTGTTAGGTAACTATAAATCCCAGCAACTACAACTCCACAAAATCACACACACACACACCACACACCACACACACACACCCAAGCCCTCCAGTATTCAAATTTGGTCGTATCGGGTTTTTGTGCCAAATTGGGTCCAGTGAATGAAAATACATCCTGCATATCGGATATTTACATTGCTTTATTTATTTATTTATTATTTATTTACAGCATTTTTACCCTGCCCTTCTCAATCCCCTGGGGGGGGGGCTCAGAGCAGGTAACAAAGGCAGCAATTCGATGCCACAATCGAATTACGATTCATAACAGTAGCAAAATTACAGTTATGAAGGAGCAACAAAAATAATTATATGGTTGGGGGTCACCACAACATGAGGAACCGTATTAAGGGGTAGCGGCATTAGGAAGGTTGAGAAACAGTCAGAGGCGACCCTAGGTAATTTTCAATGGTAAGCAACAGTATTTTGCCCCCCCCCCCCCCAACCATTCATTGATATATATTTTCTCTTTGTCATGGGAGTTCTGTGTGCCATATTTGGTTCAATTCCATCATTGGTGGAGTTCAGAATGCTCTTTGATTAGGTGAACTATACATCCCAGTAACTGCACTTGCTCCCTTGCCTGGCCCGCTTTGGGTCCGGAGGCGTGCCTGAAGACCCCGTCGTGTGCACCAAAAGTCACCTCTTCTCCTGACTTTCTCCTCAGCCATTGGGACCAAGAGAGAGAGAGAGAGAGCGAGAGAGAGGTGGAGATGCCCACCTTTCCTGAAGGTAGGCGCAAAAACAAAGGAGGGAGCGGAGGTGGGAGATACCTCCAGCCAGAGGGACTCTCTCTCTCTCTCTCTCTTGGTCCCAATGGCTGAAGAGAAAGTCAGGAGAAGAGGCTACTTTTGGTGCGCACGCTGGGGTCTTCAGACATGCCTCCGGACCCGAAGCGGGCCAGGCGGCGGCTCCACCCCTTGGCCCACCCGCGGATTGGGGAGAGGAGAGGAGGCAGGTGGAGCGCCGGGGGATCGGGAAAGGGAGCCGGTCATGGGGAAGGGATCGAACGCGGAGAACGATTGAGCACCGGCTCTGCTGCGCCCTGGTGGCCGGGGGAGCAGGAACGAGAGGGGCTAGGCGAGGCTCAAGGGCCCGGCCCCTTTGGGAAGAGGATCGCCCGGCAGCGAGGCAAGAAAGCCGAGGCTCCCCCCGGACTGCTAGGGCTGTTGTGAGCTGAGGGGGCGCTCCTCAAGTGGTGGTCGAGGGGCATTTACAGAGGCGCCTCTGCGCCCCTGGCAAAAAAAAAAGTGTTCTGCGACCGCTTACTTCGCGTAATGGACGAGCCCCTGGAAGCACTGACCTAAACATTAGTAAGAACTTCCTGATGTTAAGAGCTGTTCGGTAGTGGAAGATGCTGCCTTGGAATGTGGTGGAGTTTCCTTCTGTGGTGGTGTTTAAGCAGAGGCTGGATGACTGTCAGGGGTGCTTTGATTGTGTGTTCCTGCCTGACAGAATGGGGTTGGACTGGATGGCTATTATTATTCTATTATTCTAGTTGTAAGAGGGGAGATACAGAGCCTTGTAAACAGGCAAAGTGCCTTTCAGGTGGTTCAGGAGTGGTGCCAATTAGCTGGTGCAAAACACACACCTCCTCATCCTCTCTTATCTAAATCCTCGGAGTTGTGTCTCTCAGTTTTTTGTGTATTTGCTTATCAGGCCACAGAACCTATGACTAGGGGAAACAAGTGACTGCAGCCAGAAACAGTGCCATGAAAGCGATTGTCAGGAGGTGAACTGTGCCGGAGAGAAGAGAGCAGGGAGCCGCTCTGACATAAGCAGGTGTCGCTTGGAAAAACCAAGGGCTCTCACATGCCGCTGGGAAAGCAATGCAGTAAGCGATCCTCATATTGCAGCAGACGTGGTTCCCTGCGATTAGTTAGCAGCGACTGGGGGAAGCCTGGCTGCTTTTGTGGCAGCAAAGAGAGCGAGAGGAAGGCAATTTCCAGACCTGGACCGGTGTCAGAGCAGGAGGGAACCTCTCATTGGTCCTCTGGGGTTCGGGAAGCAGCCAGAGGAATTTCACCGCTCTGCAAGATGCTCAGAGATTGTGCATCGCTTCTGCGCATCGCAGGGGAGGGCTTGCTGCCTTGATGCTCCTGGACTGAACAAGTTCTGATAGGTTGGTAACTCTGTATTTTCTGATTCTTTCTAAAGAAGAGGTGCTTCATTGCCTGCTGCTTCTGCTCACCTGTATCATTTGAGCATTTGAAATGGTGAAAGCTGCGAAGTGGGGAGAAAACATTAAAGACTGCATGAGTAGATTGGATTGGCTGTTAAAACTATACGAGGAATATTTCGTTGGGGAAAGAAAGCACTTCGGAGTTCCGCTAGTCAGTATGTAGAAATGGAGAATTGGATTCTTTCATTGGCTGTAGTGGCTTTGCTTAGTTTCTGTTTAGTTTTACCTGAGATTTTGGGCTGCAGCTGGATTTTCCTCGAAGCTGCATCCTTTCTCAAATGTGTGTGCAGTGGGCATGTCTGCGTGCAAAAGCAAATGTGCCGAAATGTCACATGCTTATTTTGATACATTGGCGGCCGATGGTGTGATTGAAAGTTTGCATTAGTCATGGGCCAAAGGATTTGTCTCTAACCTGTGAAAAAAAAAGGTGGGGGGTAAGAGTTTAAGGTTTCTGGAAGAAGGCCTGCCATAAGAGCTCATGCTCCACCATAAGGTGCAGGTCTCTATCTCTAATGAATCTGAAAACTATTTGGTTTTACGATATTCACATTTTATTGTGATGTTATTTGGTGTTTATTTTTATGTATCGTTGGGCTTGGCCTCATGTAAGCATCACTGAGTCCCTTGGGGAGATGGTAGCGGGGTACAAATAAAGTATTATTATTATTATTATTATTATTATTATTTACTAGCCATGCCCTGCCACACGTTGCTGTGGCCCAGTCTAGTAATTCCAATGTTATCCTCTATTACAGTGTTTCTCAACCTGGGGGTTGGGACCCCTGGGGAGGTCATGAAGGGGTGTCAGAAGGGTTACTAAAGACAACAGCATTTTCTGTTGGTCATGGGGGTTCTGTGTGGGAAGTCTGGCCCAATTGTATCATTGCTGGGGTTCAAAATGCTCTTTGATTGCAGGTGAACTATAAATCCCAGTAACTACAACTCCCAAATGTCAAGGTCTATTTCCCCCAACTCCATCTGTGTTTATATTTGAGCATATGGAGCATTCGTGCCAAGTTTGCTCTAGATCTTTCATTGTTTGAGTCCACAGTGATTTAGGTGAACTACAACTCCAGAACTCAAGTTCAATGCCCACCAAACCCTTTCAGTATTTTCTGTTGTTCATGGGAATTCTGTGTGCCAAGTTTGGTTCAATTCCATCATTGGTGGAGTTCAGAATGCTCTTTGATTGTAGGTGAACTATAAATCCCAGCAACTACAACTCCCAAATGACAAAATCCATAATGTTTTGAGTGATGGTCACTCCTTGTGTTGTGAGATGTTTTGTTGCCAGATTTGGTGTGATTTCATTCGTTGGTTCTTTTGTTTCATTATGCACAGAGCATTTTTATATATATAGATTAAGCCGCTCTGAGTCCCCTTTAGGGAGATGGTGGTAGGGAATAAATAAAGTATTATTATTATTATTATTATTATTATTATTATTATTATTTTCAACTCATTATTGCAGCAGTGGATTTGTGCAGAAAGAAAGAGAAGAGCGTTGGGAGGAAAGCACGAGTCTTATTGGTACTTTGGATGCCGAAGTATGAATATTGCAGTAAAATCAGTCACAAATTGGTTGGTGTAAGAAAGGCTGTAATTCAGGAAGGATTGGTATTCAGAGTTTCCCCACTCCTGGCAAATTTATTATATATATATATATATATATATATATTGAGGTTATTTACAAATAAACATTTAAAATGGGTTGTTGTAGGTTTTTCAGACTATATGGCCATGGTCTAGAGGCATTTTCTCCTGACGTTTCACCTGCATCTATGGCAAGCATCGTCAGAGGTAGTGAGGTCTGTTGGAAACATTTAAAATATTTGGAAATAGGGAAGATGGGGAGGGCAGAGGCGGCTCAACCCATTACGCAAAGTAAGCATTTGCAGTATAGTTGATTTTGCCCAGGGGTGCTCTTGAGGCGCTCTTGGGGAAAATAGACCTTGACATATGCGAGTTGTAGTTACTGGGATGTATAGTTCACCTAGAATCAAAGAGCATTCTGAACTCCACCAATGATGGAATTGAACCAAATATGGCACACAGAACTCCCACGACGAACAGAAAATATATATCAGTGATTGGTTGGGGGGGGGGGGGGCAAAATACTGTTTGCTTTCCGTTTAAAATTACCTAGGGCCGTCTCTGGGGGGAGAGAGGTGAATCGAGGGTGTTGAGGGAGGGGGGATGTCTTTAAGGTATAGGGAAGGGGTTAGGGTTGGGGGAGGAGGGTTGGGAAGTTTCAGGCTTCCAACCGTCTTCGCTTCGGGTATATTCTTTTCGAGATCATCAATCTTTGTCCGCTGACAGATTTCTTCTCAAGTAAATATTCCTTAGTATTGCAAAAACTAAATGAAATCATAACACAGTTCCCAACATCACAGAAAACAATCTGTATTTGTGGCAACAACCCAAATGTATTTTCTGTTTTTCTAGCCATATTTACCATGGAGTGTTCAGTTTAGGAACACCTCTACTGTGTCTAATTAATTGAAGCTGCTTCTGTGTAAGGATGTATGTGGAAAACTACAGATCTTTATGGCTTGCATATAATAATAATAATAATAAGAAGAAGAAGAAGAAGAAGAAGAATCAGAATCATAGAATCCTAGAATCAAAGAGTTGGAAGAGACCTCATGGGCCATCATCCAGTCCAACCCCATTCTGCCAAGAAGCAGGAATATTGCATTCAAATCACCCCTGACAGATGGCCATCCAGCCTCTGTTTAAAAGCTTCCAAAGAAGGAGCCTCCACCACACTCCGGGGCAGAGAGTTCCACTGCTGAACGGCTCTCACAGTCAGGAAGTTCTTCCTCATGTTCAGATGGAATCTCCTCTATTGTAGTTTGAAGCCATTGTTTCGCGTCCTAGTCTCCAGGGAAGCAGAAAACAAGCTTGCTCCCTCCTCCCTGTGGCTTCCTCTCACATATTTCCACATGGCTATCATGTCTCCAGGCTAAACATGCCCAGCTCTTTAAGCCGCTCTTCATAGGGCTTGTTCTCCAGACCCTTGATCATTTTAGTCGCCCTCCTCTGGACACATTCCAGCTTGTCAATATCTCTCTTGAATTGTGGTGCCCAGAATTGGACACAATATCCCAGATGTGGTCTAACCAAAGCAGAATAGAGGGGTAGCATGACTTCCCTAGACCTAGACACTATGCTCCTATTGATGCAGGCCAAAATCCCATTGGCTTTTTTTGCCCCACATCACATTGTTGGCTCATGTTTACCTTCCTGTCCACGAGGACTCCAAGATCTTTTTCACACGTACTGCTCTCAAGCAGGCATCGTCCCCCATTCTGTATCTTTGCATTTCATTTTTTCTGCCAAAGTGGAGTATCTTGCATTTGTCACTGTTGAACTTCATTTTGTTAGTTTTGGCCCATCTCTCTAATCTGTCAAGATCGTTTTGAATCCTGCTCCTGTCCTCTGGAGTATTGGCGCTCCCTCCCAATTTGGTGTCATCTGCAAACTTGATGATCATCATCAAAGCGCATTGTACGTAAAATACAAGACAAAATTCACAGAAAGCATAACAACGGCCAGGAATAAGATATAAACAAATATTTAGCATTAAAAACATTTTAAACCAATTACAAATGCCTCTTTATTTGTCCAGCAGCCTTATTGTGTTCAGTGTTGATTATTCCAAAGTAAGTGTTGTCTTTGCTTTGAGAAAAGTACTGAAATTACATAAGTAAGGGCCCCAACAACCGCTCGTTTTCATATGTGGTGCACATAATGCCGAACGTTATTTAGTAATTGTCGAAGGCTTTCGTGGCTGGAATCACTGGGTTGTTGTAGGTTTTTCGGGCTACATGGCCATGTTCTAGAAGAATTCTCTCCTGACGTTTCGCCTGCATCTATGGCAAGCATCCTCGGAGGTTGTGAAGTCACAACCCAGTTATTTAGTAAGTTAATACAGAGTTTCCCATTCAGTCTGTGGAATCTTGTGTTGGGTGGCCATATCACACAAAGTCATTAACAGCATTGTCATGTACATGTTAACTCTGAATTAAGTGCCACTGAGTATAGCTGGAGTTATTTCCAGCAGTGTTTCTTAGGCTGTATGACAGTGTTTCTTAACCTGTGGGCTGCGGACCACTAATGGGTTGCGAGGACGAAAATCTGGTCCACGAGCCTCCTTCATTTTTATTTTATTTTATTTTATTTTATTTTATTTTATTACCATTCCTTTTGCGCCGCCTGCCACTCCTTGCCATTGGTTACCATGATATATGTTCTGTATCAAAATCTAGAGCTGATGTGGTCTATCCAATGCAATTTTCTGAATCAGCATAACAAACCGAATCTAATGTTGACCAAAAACCGATTCATAATCCTTTTGGTACTAATGTTGGAGAGTAGTCCCTGGTCAAAGTGGTTCCTGGTCAAGTAGTCCCTGGTCAAAGTGGTCCCCTGTCAAAATGGTCCCTGCTCCCTGGTCAAGTGGTCCCTGGTCAAAAAAAGGTTGGGAACCACTGCTGTATGATAAGGGGGAACTAACTATTATTGTTTTCCAGTATGCTGAATTGGTGCCCATTGAGAGCAATAGTTTCTTAGCAAAGGTAAAGGTTTCCCCGGCTCTGTCTGACTCTGGGGGGTGGTGCTCATCTCCATTTCTAAATCGAAGAGCCAGCATTGTCCATAGACGCCTCCAAGGTCATGTGGCCAGCATGACTGCATGGAGCACTGTTACTTTCCCACCAGAGCAGTACCTATTGATCTACTTACATTTGAATGTTTTCAAACTGCTAGGCTTGCAGGAACTGGGGCTAACAGCGGGAGCTCACCCTGACCCATGGCTTCAAACTGCCAACCTTCAGGTCAGCAGTTCAGCAGGACAAGGGTTTAACCCATTGCACCAATTGCGTCAAATCATGACCCTCGCCCTAATTGTCAAGGAGCTGGGTGAGGCTATACAGGTC